GTTAGTTTTCATACACCATCATTGCAGTTAATGTGCTTTGGGGATGCGTTAACGACATTAGTAAGTAATAGTCTCTGAAATAGGTTTCTAAGTTTTCCTCTGCAACCCTGTTTGACGGTTGTGTTTCAGTGTTATTATTTTCCCCTGCTCGCTTATATCTGCGAAGTCATTTTTGTCATTTAAAATTTTTGCAATACAAGAATTCCAGAACCAGGGCATTTTGGAAGATTGCTAGGTTCTTGAGGTCGCAGTGACTCATGCAAAACTTCTTTCTGGTCAAAGTGAATTATGTTTTGGGCTTTCCTCCCGATTACATTGAGTTTTCAGAGTGCTTCTTCTAGGATTATTTGGTTCCTGAAACAGTTTGGAAACATTTTATTTTTAGTACCACCAGAAACTGGCAGCAACAACATCAGAAAGATAAAAGAATGAAGATACAATAACAAACACCGGCAGCGACAACAACAAGTAACTTTTTATAATAAAAATTAAATAAAAATTAAAAAAGGATTTTAAGAATTATCGAATACAAAAAAATAATAAATATCCGAATATCACAATATTCCAAGAGTTTCATATTAAGAAAAAGGCAAAAGCTTGGAAAAAATTGCAGAAAATTTTTCGAGAAAGAAATTAAATACAAAAGGAACTAAATTTGTTGATCTTTGTCTTAAACAAGACATTTTTGTGATAGTGAGATAGAAAAATTATTAAACGAATTCCGAAAGTTTAAGGGGGAGTAATAATCGATTTTGTCCGAGGACTTTTTTTGGGAAGGAAAGAAATATTCGATTAAAACGAAACTTTCAGGTTTTATTTTTATATATTTGAATATTCTTCTCAAATATTTTCATTAAAATACATGTCATATTATTCCTGGTACAAGCATTTCGCCGAGGCACATCGACTGTCGCAATATCCATCTGATACAAAAAAACCCAACAAAATTGAACAAAGAGTGAAAATCTCAACATTTTTCACAAATTAGAAAAATTTTTTTTATTTTTTTGTTCACTTTAGATTGTTCAAAAAGTGAATCATAACTTTCTTAAGGTTTTTTAAGTTCAACAAGAAGAGAATTTAATCCCGAATACAATAAATTGTGCCTCGTTTCGGAATGTCCGTCCGTTCTTTTCTACGCTAACTAGTCCCTCAGTTTTTAAGCTATCTGCTTGAAACTTTCCCAAAAGTTGTCTTTCGGAACGAGACGGATCGGGCGACTATATCATATAGACCTATATCGAAAAAAAATTATAAATTTGTTGTTTTTAATTCTTTTTAGTCGCAAAATCGACAAAACAATGATTTTAGTAATGTAGGCATATAAATCGAAATGTAGTCGTTTTGTAATAACTGCAAGGGTATATAAACTTAGGCTGGCCGAAGTTTGCTTCCTGTTTTTTATACCCTTGCAGAGGGTATTATAATTTCAGTCAAAAGTTTGCAACGCAGTGGAGGAGACATTTACGACCCTATAAAGTATATATATTCTTGATCAGCATCACCAGGAGAGTCGATCTAGCCATGTCCGTCTGTCCGTCCGTCTGTCCGTTTCTACGCAAACAAGTCCCTCACTTTTAAAGATATCTGCTTGAAACTTTCCCAAAAGTTGTCTTTTTATTGCAGGTTGTATATAAGTCGGAACGAGCCGAATCGGCCGACTATATCCTATAGCTGTCATATAACTGAATGATCGGAAAGGCAATAACTTTGGTATTTTTAAAGTTAGGAAGTTAGGATTTTCTATGGGCTTTATTTTTGGCCAATCAATCCGACCTTTCAAGTTTCATAAGGATCGGCTGACTATATCCTATAGCTGCCATATAACTGAACGATTGAAAATGCCATAACTTTAGTGTTTTTAATGTTAGGAAGTTGGGATTTTTTATGAGTATTAAGAATGCATCATATGAATAATTTTGGAGAATATAATTTACAGAATATTCTGCAAGGGTATATCAACTTCAGCTCCGCCCGAAGTTAGCTTTCCTTTCTTGTTTTTGGTTTGTTTCCAACCATTTCATTTTTCGGGCTTATTTTGGTTGTAACGGTTCATGCCAGTCTGTAAAGCCGAACCCGCTTGTTGTTGTTTGATATTGCCGATATTGGCTCACATACTTACAATTGGGGTTTATTCGGCGCTGGTAACGGATACTGTTGATGTTGTTGTTGAGGTCACAGTGCTTGTGACTGTTGAGCTGTGAGTCGAAGCTGGGGGTGGGGTACTACACTGCAAGCTCCATGAAGTGGAAGTTGGGGTGAATAGGGCCAAGACGGTGCTCTTGCACTATCAGTGGTCAGTACGGCTGAGTTGCTCTTTGAGAAGTTTTTTTACTTCTATATCACGGGTTGAGAAATAAGAAAGATAACCTTTTCTCTGGTTTTCGGATCGCCGCTCATTGAGCTACTATTCGTGGCACTTCCTTTTTATTTTCAAATAATTTTGATCTTGTTTTCTTCATAGCACTAATTATTATTTTACTCTTTTTGTAATTACTATTTTTTTTGTTTTGTCGTGTTTTTGACCTTATTATAGTTATAGTTATTTGTTTTCCACTTTTTAAATGTTTTTCTGGAGCTCGAGCAAAACACGTCTGCATTCTCCAAGTTCTAGGGCACTCAAAAGCGCGCGGTATTTGCTCGCAAGTAATTGTTCCCAAAGCACGGAGATAAAAACTCCAATAGTCTGAGTAAAGACAGCAGGACAGAGAAAAATATGCTGTAACAAACTTTAGATTTAAGCCGGAGGGTAAAAACCCCCATTTCAATATAAGATTAAGACAGCCACTCATACAGGATTCAGTCCAGCCAATGGACGTCGATAGCGAATCTCGTATTATACAACCAACCCAAAATCAATAAAGTGGTCCGATTCATATACAACTCCAAAGCAATCAGTAGCAGACAAATCAGCAAATTATTCAACTCAACGCTTACAGTAACCAGGAACTGACAAGTAAAAGGCCCAGTAATAGTACCGCAAAGTATACAGGGCCGAAACACCAAAGAAAAAACCATTTGGCGTTACACAACGATCTATGCAACAACAACAATGACGAATACCCTACAGTAACCGAGGAAGAAGGTGAAGACGATGACCTTGTAGAATACGACGAAATAAATTTATTGGCATAACTCCCTGCTCTTATTCATAGAAAGGAAAATCTCCTGAAGAAAAATCAAACTTTTGATAGACACAGGGGCTTCCAAAAATTATATCAAGCCTATGAAAGAATTAAAAAAAATTATTTTCTGTAAAGTCAATCCATGGTCACAAAACCATAAATAAAAAATGTATCATCCATTTTTTAAAAAAAAATACTACATTTTTCTTACTACCGAACTGCTATGTTTTTGCCGCGGCCAAAGTTGGCAGCTCTGATCTTGACATTACTCATAACTGCATACATACTCCTGTTCGCGTTAAGCCTTAAGCTTTCCAGCCAGTTCCCGACACACACTTATGTAGAACACATCTATGATTGTAATACTCGCGGTTAATAAACTATAATACAATCGATCAACGCGCGGGGTAACATACCCGGTGTTAACATACCCGGCAACTGCAAGTCAGTTAACGGACGCGAGGAATTATAGATGTGTCAATAGTCTACAACCGCCGTAGGATTGATAGGCTACCGATCATCATTGCTGAGGTAAAGAGCTCGAATATCGTTGGACGCAGTTGATTCAACGCAATGGATATATGAATTGAGGGAGTATACGCCATCAACCACCGCAACAACATCGACGAAATTCTCTTCGAAGCTCGGCCGCTATACGGGTCCGCCGGTTTCACCCCACATATATCCAGATGACCCACCCATAAAATTGGGACCACGGCGAATACCTTTTGCCATAAAGCACATGGTAGAAGAAGAAATTGATCGTTTTACACGAGCAAGGCATATTGGAACCAGTAGAATACAGTGATTGGGCAACACCATTAGTGCCCGTAATAAAAAAGGATGGCTCAATCCGCATCTGTGCCGATTACAAGTCGACGCTTAATCAAGCCATCAAACCCCACTGCCATCAAATACCAGCAGTCAGCACTCTGTGGGCATCTATAGAGGGCAGATCTATCTTCGCCAAGATCGATTTGTCACAGGTCTATCAGCAGTTTGCGGTAAACAACAAATCCGCGATGCACAGAAGCTGTCGACACACAAAGGCGCGTTTAAAGTAAACAGACTACAGAGCACCCTACAACATATTCCTGGGGTACTACCCTATTTTGACGACATAGTGGTTATGGGGAAATCAGAGGAACAACTCGCTCAGAGACTGGAAGATGTACTAGACCGACTTGACAAAGCCGGTCTTCGACTCCGAAAAGACAAGTGCAAATTTGGCGTATCATCCGTCCAGTTCCTGGGATTCCAAATAGATGATATGGGCATACGCCCATCAATTGAAAAGGTAAAGGCTATTTCAGAAGCCCCAGCGCCGAAGGACAAAAAGCAACTACAGGCGTTCCTGGGCTTACTAAATTTTTACCACGTTTTCTTGCCGCAAAAGGCAACAGTGGCGGAACCATTACACCGTTCATTAGACAAAAATACACACTGGAATTGGCGGAAAGAACACGACAGGGGTTTCCGAGAATTAAAACGGCTCATGACATCAGACGACCTGCTAGTCCACTACGATCCAAGGGCACCATTAGTACTAGCATGCGACACATCGCCCTATGGACTAGGGGCAGTCCTCAGCCACAAGAACGCAGATGGGTCGCGTTTTACTCTAGAACACTCTCTAAAGCCGAGCGTGGATACGCGCAAATTGACAGAGAAGCTGTTGCGCTCATCGCGGGAGTTAAAAAATTTCACGACTACGTATACGTTCGACAGTTTACTCTGATAACCGACCATCGCCCACTGTTGGGAATCTTCGCGACAGGCAAGCCAGTCCCAACAGTAATTTCCGACACCATGTTGCGCTGCTCCATTTTCTTAAACGCTTATAATTTTCAACTGTTACACCGGGAAGGAAAGAAAATGGGCAATGCAGATTTTTTAAGCCGTTGTCCGGTAGAACCACCATTAGCGGAAAAAGGACCCCAGGACATTTTGATGTTGGAAATTTCGGCAAAATCATTGGTTAGCGCACAACAAATCGCATCACAAACGGCCAAAGACAACTGGGTGTTAAGGGGATGGTCAGGCCAACAATCGGATAAAGAAAAACAATTGCATCAGTTCTACATCCGACGGAACGAACTCTCTGCCATAAGAGGAGTTCTGGTATGGGGGAATAGAGCGGTGATTCCACCCAAACTTCGCGAATCAATTCTACAAGCACTTCATGCCCCACATCCCGGCATTGTAAAGATGAAGTTGATAGCGCGCAGCTACGTATGGTGGCCCAACATGGATGACGACATCGAGGTCGTTGTTAAAAAATGTGGGGTTTGTCAGCAAAACCGTAATGAAGAACCAAAAACCGAAACTCACCACTGGGAACTAGCAAGAGGACCATGGTCGCGCCTGCACATAGATCATGCCGGTCCATTTCAAGGGAGAACATATTTCTTAGTCGTCGACTCATTCTCTAAATGGCTAGAGGTCGCAGTAGTTCCTTTAACAGCGGCGGGGCCGGCCGTCAAGTTCCTCAGGCAACTATCAGCCACCCATGGGTTACCCGACGAGATTGTATCAGACAACGGTACAGCGTTCACATCCGCCGAATTTAAAGAATTTACGGACAATAATCTCATCAGACACATTCGCTCGGCCCCATTCCATCCGGCTACTAACGGTCAAGCGGAACGAATGGTGCAGTCCACAAAGAACTATTTACGGAAGGCTGGCCAGAACATAAACATTGACTTGACTTTGGCCAGATATTTATTTAATTAGCATACCACACCACATTTTGTTACTAATCGCACTCCGGCAGGATTGCTAATGAACCGGCACCTTAAGACTTATTTCGACAAGCTGCAACCTCAAGAGATACGGTTTGATAAGGATAATAGTTCTACGAATTCCAAACATTTCATTCCAGGCGATTCGGTTTGGGTACGAAACTACGCTACGGGACCGAAGTGGATCACCGGTGAAATCGGAGTCCGAACAGGACCGATCTCATATACCGTGCGATTGGAAGATAATCGCGTAATCAGAAGGCATCAGGATCAACTTCGTAGTCGTTTACCACAATCTAACCAGTCTACCGAAGACGAAGATACCCCGAGCCGACCGATCCAGAGGAGCCAGCTTTAACGGACTCCCAGACGGAGAAAGACAGTTGTGAAGAGAACCCTTATGAGGAATGTGAAGATCTTCAATCGGAATTACCACCAGTTCGTAGGTCCCATCGACACAGGAAGCCTACAGAATTCTATAGTTCCTCAACTGGGTGTTAAGGGGTGTTCTGTATTTGCCGCGGCCAAAGTTGGCAGCTCTGATCTTGGCATTACTCATAACTGCGTACATACTCCTGTTCGCGTTAAGCCTTAAGCTTTGCAGCCAGTTCCCGACACACACTTATGTAGAACACATCTATGATTGTAATACTCGCGGTTAATAAACTATAATACTATCGATCAACGCACGCTCCCCAATATATTAAACGAACTTAACAACGTTTTTCCATCAAACGTAATTGGACTAGACTTACTTAAATACTGACGTCGTACTTGACCTAAAAGACAAAAAGTTTATAATTAATAGCAGAAGAAATTAAATTATTAAAATGTACAAAATTTAATTTTTTCAAAGGTTGAGGATATAGAAGTACCTCCGGAAATTATGGAAAAATTTTAAGCATGTTAGGAAACCGCACTGGCGCATTTGCAGAGCCCCAAGACAGCGACTCGTGATACTGATATCATTGGTAATATCCGGACAGAGAACGAAGACCCAACTTTTGACGTCTCAGATCGCAATCTTACAACTTATTAATTTCTATCGGCGAACAAAAACCATATATTGCGATAATGAGTCTTTCATAAAATCTGAAACAATTAAGTCCCTTTTAGGTAACCGATTTTACGTGCAAATCGCTAATGCACCGCCACTTCAAAGTACATCGAACGGACAAGAGAAAAGATTCCACGGTATTTAAAAATTAAAAAAAGTATTGAAGATACTGTTGACTAAATACTTTTCGCGTCTATAGAATACAATAGAACCAATTGTCAATTGCCACCGCCGCCGCCGGTACACATACATCTGCGGGGACTGGTGCCTTTTAGTGGCAACGTCGCCAACTCTCCACCGTGCCACCGTGTTTTTTCAAGAAGTGATCACAATCTTCGTCGTGGAAGCCAGATCGTAGCTGCCGCTTGGGCACATATACACACTTCGTTGGACTTGCCAGCCCCATCTAACATACACGGGAGCGCACTCTGGAAGACAGCTCATCGCCGTTGGAATACATACACAAGTATAGTAAATCAATGTATGTTATTATCGCTGTTACTAAGCAGAATATTTGCAAAATGTGTACATATTAGAAATTTTACGAATCAGACTTAAATAGTTTTGCTTGTGTATTTGCGTTAATGACAAATAGCGTTGGGCGATATTCGCCCAATCGGCTTACTCAGCAGTGAATTTAAATACAATTAGTAATTCTTGATTAATTATCCTCTCTCAGCGGTTTTCGGCAAGTGCTGCGAAGGCTTTTTGAATGGGGGAACCAGAAGCGATTAGGCAAAACTTCTTCCGTAGACGTTGATCATATCGATACGGATGACCTACTTAATCAGCTGGACCGCGTTAAGCAGAATATACATAGAATCAAAAAAGCAGCCGCAGGCAACCCCAACCTTTCGAGCCATGCGAGATGCAAAGAATCGCAACGATTATGTTTAAAGGGCATTCGATCTTCAACAACATATTAAAGAAGTTTGTCTTGATATTTCTTGCCGTGCGGATTCGGAAGAGTAATGCATCACAGCCGAGTCTTCCTTAATGTCGGGTTGCACTCGATCAGATTCTGATAGGGATCATTCTCCCTCTTCTCAAAATTCGTGACTAAATAATTCTATGTCCCACAGTAGATACCTCCTTCACATGAAATTACCAAAATTTGATGGCAACTATACCGATTTTAACAACTGTATTGGTCTCTTCAAAAGCTTTGTTGACGCGGATCCACTATTGTCAAATGTAGAAAAGTTCAACCATCAACTGTCGAGTCTGGAAAAAAAGGCCAGGAAACAATCGTGGCGTATTAGGTAACAGATCACAATTATCCAAAGGCATTAAAAAGACAAATGTCGAGTTTATGATAACCCTTGTCTAATATTCTTCAATAAAATAGCGCGCCTGTTTAGAACTTCTACAATTTCTCATTCCTCAGCCAATTCTTTATTGATAGACGACTGCAATCTATGAGTCTCTAAAATCTTTCGGCAGTGATATAAGAATTGCAAACGCTATCATCATCAACATTGTAATGACCAAAGCCGCCCCAAAGACTCGTTCTAGGTGGGAAGAACAAAAGGATCATCAATCGATTCCCTTGTTGTGGCATTGTGGATTCACCTTGAGGCAAGAGTGCGCGAAAGCTTTAAATAAACGATATCATCATCTTGCAGCTTTCGAATCGACCTCCGGTAGGGTAAAGCAAGCAAAGTTCTGTTTCACAGTCAGACGAAACTGTAAGCTTATATATATTCTTGATCCGTCTGTCCGTCCGTCTGTTCGTCCGTCCATCCGTTTCTACGTAAACTAGTCCCTCAGTTTTAAAAGGATCTTCTTGAAACTTTTCCAAAAGTTGTCTTTTTATAAGTCGAAACCAGCCGGATAAGGCGATGATATCAAATGGCTCCCATAGGAACAATCGTTAAAAAAAGAGTAAGTATAACTTTGTTGTTTTTAATTTTTTTGTTGTTCTTTGGGATTTGGTAATATTTGGATACTGTGGAATTACGGTTTTAATTAAATAAAAAACTGACATCTATATAAAATGGCTCCCATAGAAAAAATCGAAAAATTAAAAAAAAATATAAAAATGAAAACATATTTTTATTTTGCTGTTTTTATATATATTAAGATATTCCGTTGAGACTTACGCTTTTAGTTTTGTCAAAATCAGAGAACAATATCATATAACTGTCATAGAAACGATGGCAAAATTCAGCGCAAAATCGACATTATTCATTGTTTTTAGTATTCTATCTATATATATAAAAATGCTCTGTGCGTATGTTCGTGGCCGATGTACTCGAACCGTTTGAGCCCAAAGTTTGACACAACATGTGTTGAGGTCCCGATTAGGTTTTTATCTACTCAGATTTCGCCTAAGTTGCCAAGCACAAAAGATAAGGAAAAAAAAGGAAAAAAGAATCGATTGTTCTCCATCGACGGAATAATAAATTGCTAAACGTCGCAGAAACTCACCGTTGCTACGATGCTCTGCAGTATCCAATTATTTTCTGGGATGGTGCTGATGGATATTATTTTAATGTGAAGATTATAGATCCTGTCAGTGGCGAGGAAAGAAATAAAAAGGGCAGCGCAATGAATTTTTACCCATACCGTTTCATGATTAGGAGGAAAGACAATAATTATATATTGAAATGCCGTCAGTTGTTTCATCAGTACATTGTTGATATGTATGCGAAAATATAAACCGAATGTTTGCTCGTTATCAAATTGAATCAGACCAAACTCCGGTCAACGAATACATTCATTTGCGAGACGCAGTTAGAATTGACAGGAATACAAAAAACTTTGGAAAGCTAACTATTTTGCCGTCTTCATTTATAGGCGGACCACGACACATGCATGCATTTGCTCAAGATGCAATGGCATATGTCCGTTATTACGGTCGTCCAGATTTATTCATCACTTTCACATGCAATCCAGCCTGGAAAGAGATACATCAGCTGTTATTGCCTGGACAATCTCCTGTGGATAGACATGATATTACAGCACGTGTTTTCCGACAAAAGCTGAAGTCGCTAATGGATTTCTTTGTGAAGCATGAAGATTTTGGATAAAATAACAACAGATGAAATTGACGATGTGATCTGCGCAGAGATTCCAAGAGACGACATCGATGAGGATTTGCATGCAGTTGTTATCAAGAACATGATCCATGGACCATGCGGCATAATAAATCAACGCTCACCATGCATGGTAGACGGTAAATGCTCCAAGCGACGACATCCATGAGCATTTTCATGCAGTCTAATCACTAGAACAGTGATACCATGGACTATCCGGAACTAGTGACAGGAAAGTTCAGACTGAAGAGTATTGGGGGAAGTTCGGCAATTATAAAGATGCGAAATAGAGAGTTAGAGGTAGACAACCGTTGGGTGGTTCCATATTCACCACTGTTGTCGAAAACATAAGCAGACATTTAACGTACATGGAGAAAGTCTTTAGCAACCAATCCACCTGATAGTATTCTGAAGTGCTGTCCTTTACACGTGGAATGTAACTAAAAAAGCATTTGGACGACTTAAACGAGGGCAGCCAGTTCACGGACAACCTGGCATTTTCAGAGAAAAAACCATTTGGAGAATAGATACAGTACATCCTAATCAAAATAAAGGTTTTTTTCTTTGAATGCTGTTGGTAATTGGCTGATCCGAGGTCTTTCCAGCATTTGAAAGATGTAAACGGCATCACACACCCCACTTTCCGCAGTGCATGTTGACATGCAATTAATTGGAGGACGACCAACAATGGGATACATGTATTAATGATGCGAGCAACACTGCTCATCCGAATCAAATTCCTTCATCTCCAACAGAGCTGTGGAAAGATATCGGGAACATATGGCTGAAGATATTTTGCATAGAGCACGTCGAGAAAATGGCGTAATGACCATGGCATGTACACAAGGCATTTACAACGAAACGTTGATAAACATTGAAGACAAGGCCTAGCTATTGCAAATAAAGTTATCAGCCAATTAGAAATGCCAGCACCCATCAGGACTGAAAATGCTTCATTAGATGTAGATTTGCGTCAAGAACAGAGCTACGACGACAATGATCTCCATTCATATGTGAATTTGAACATTGGAAAATTAAGGCGTAAACAGAAGGGCATATATAATATCATTATGGAGATTATAATGGTCGGACGTGGGGGTATCTTCTTCTTGGATGCTCCAGGAGGAACTGGGAAGACATTCCTCATCAAATTGATTCTGGCAACGGTTAGAGCGAAAAAGATATAGCCTTAGCACTCGTTTCATCAGGAATAGCTGCCACATTGTTACCCGGTGGAAGAACTGCTCATTCAGCCCTGAAGTT